AGCCCTCAGCATATCTCCTCCTCCTTCTCTATGCTATTCTGCAAGCTTACGAGTAAAAAATGTTAGCCTAACTAGATCTGAAGGACTCAAAACATTCATGTTTCACACTGTAAAAGTGTCTCTCCCTCAGCCACAGGGAGAAGTCAGTAATAAAATCAGGAGTCTTAAGCTTCAGTGTTTATGTCTAAGTGCTTTGTCATACATCTCAACAAACAAAAATCCTATGACTATGAGGTGAATTTCTCTTTATACAAGTATTTGAAGCCTACAAGTAAATTTATCTACAAGCAAGCTGGTAGAATATACCAAAATGTCACTTACCCCTTGACTAGTTCAACTGCGATAAAATCATTGCCATCACCACTGTTAAAGAGGATGAAGCCATCAGCTGAGGTGGTCTTGAACTGAAAGAAGAGATGCATGGATGTATAAGCCTGCAAGGTAGCCAAGCTCAAGTAGCTGCTCTTGGTCTTGAACGTCACGGGGTCAGCTATAATGTTGCGGAGACCAAAGCGTGCCTTCAGCTCACAATAGTCAATGTCACCATTCTTGCACAGGTCAATGTAGAGCATCCCATTGAACATGAGGCTCTGGAGGTGGCCAATGAAGCTGGACGGGATGACAGAGATGTAGCGCTTCTCTGTCATGATTCCCGTCTCAATGTTGTGGAACTCCAAACGGGTATGATCGCCAACCATTGTGCCTAAAGGACAAAACCAAAGAGGAATATACAGAAAGCCCAAGGATCACTAACAGGTTATATGAAGACTTTCACTCTCCAGTTTGCAGTACTAACTTCATCCTATCTGATCACTGTTCAGCAGCTTGCATAAAAAAGAATGTATAGACACTTCATAGAATCACAGAATCAGAGTTGTCAGGGTTGGAAGGGACCTCTGAAGATCATCTAGTCCACCTCCCCTACAGTAGATCACACAGGAACATTCCAGGCGGGTTTTCAATGTCTCCAGAGAGGGAGACTCCACAACTTCTCTGGGCAGCTTGTTCCAGTGCCCTGTCACTCTCACAGTAAAGAAGTTTTTTCTGATGTTTACATGGAACCTCCTATGCTCCAGTTTGTACCCATTGCCCCTAGTTCTATCACTAGACATCACTGTAAAAAGCCCTCAATTAAAATATTCAAGCTACTCAGTGTAACAAATATGTCACACTACTTTTGAAGCACATTGAAATGTTTCAGTAAGTGTGCTAGGCATCAGTACAGACACAGAACCCACACAGACAGATGAAATACATAGAATGCTAAAAGACTAGTTTGAGTACAAAGACTAGTTGGGCAACATCAAAACGAAAACCATTACCAACAACCTTATTTCAGACCTCTCCAGATTTTTGTTAAGGTAGTTGTAACTATTTGGTCATACAGGGATCCTTTCTACACAGGCCTTCTGCCATCTAGTATGCTATAGAAGTAACATTAAATTGATTAATTACTCAATATATAATTGTTTTCTCATAATTCAATGTACAAGCATCAATCAAACTCAGCTACAAGTAGGCCAGTTGCTTTTTTTTTCTCTCATGAAATTTTCTGCAGCATTGCATTGAATTTAGGTGGTGAGGTGCTGGCTGCATGGCCGCCTCTATGAAAAGTCAGGGCTGCCCCATGCCACACATGACAGGTTCCAGTCAGCTCCAACTGACCTAACACAGCTGAGCCTTGCAACCAAGATGGTGGCATATCTGGGAAAGCATATTTAGGAAAGAACAAAATCCAAAATGGTACTTGTGAGTGAGGAACAAAGGAAGAGTAAAATGAATAATGATTTTTTGGGGAAAAAAAGCAAAAAAAAAAAAAGCAAAAACAAAGAACAACAACCCAAACAAACACATAAAAACCCTTAAAACACCAAAGTCAGAAAAGGAGGAGGGGGAAAAGGCACTCCAGACACCAGAGTGGAAATCCTTGAGCAACACATGTAGAAGACCACAGTGAAGCAGACACCTCCCACTGCAACCTGCGGAGGACCCCCATGCCAGAGCAGGTTGGTATTGCTTGAAGGAACTGCAGTCCTTGGAGACCACACACTGGAGCAGTTTTTCCTGACAGTCTGTGGAGAGGACCCATGCTGGAGCACTCCATGAAGGACCGTAGCTCATGGGAAGGACCCACACAGGAGCAATGAAAAAGTGTGAGAAGGAAGGAGTGGCAGAGAAGAGCTGTTACAGAATGACCACAGCCACCATTTTTCATTCCCCTGCACCCCTGTGTGCGTAGGGCAGTAAAAGAGTCAGGAATGACTGAGAAAAGAAGGGAGTGGAGGAGGGCATTTTATTTTTTCTCTTTATTTCTCACCATCCACCTCTATTTTTAATTGGCAATAAATCAAATTAAATTTCCCCAAATCAAGTCTGTTTTGTCCATGACAGTAATTGGTAAGTCATTTCCCATCTTTATCTTGAAACATAAGACTTCTCATCCTATTTTCTCCTCTGTCTTACCGAGGAGAGGGAGTGAGAGAGAGCTGAGTGGGTGTCTGGCAACCAGCCCCAATCAACCCAAAGTTCAGCAGCCCAGTGTGCAAATTATCCCCAAATATTCATTTCATTTTCTACCACTCCTGCAAAATTATGGATTATTACTTTCAATTTTATATACATAAAGCTGAGGAACAAAAAGATCAACATATAAATTTGGATAAATATTTAGCATCCACTTTAATGGAGTAACTAACAACTTGGGAGCACCTACAGGTTTTGAGGCTCAGCACTTCTAGAAATAAAATCCTGTATTGAGTTTGCACAGCAAGGCTTTTGTACTAGGCAGGGTTGAGGGGGAGAGTAGCTGCAGGAGTGGCTACTGTGAGAAGCTGCCAGGACCAGCTATATTCAATAGAGCCAATGCCAGCTGGCTCCAAGATGGACCCACCACTGGCCAAGTCCAAGCCCATCAGACACAGTGGTAGCACCTCTGGGATAGTAAATTTGAGGGGAAAAAAGAGTAATAATTAAAAAAGCAACTGCAGCTGGAGACAGGAGAGAGAATAGGTGAGAGAAACAACTCTGTAGACATCAAGGTTAGTGAAGAAGGAGGGGAGGAGATGCTTCAGGCTCTGGAGCAGAGATTCCCCTACAGCTCATTGGGGAGGTTATGGTGAGGCACCTTGACCTGCTGCAGCCCATGGAGGTTACTAGTGGGGCAGATACCACCTGCAGCCCAGGGAGTACCACACAACAGACCAGGTGGATACCCAAATGAGGCTGTGACCCTCTGGGAAGCCCACACCAGATCAGGTTTTCTGTCAGGATTTATGACCCCCCCACAATGGAGCAGTCTGTTCCTGAAGAGTTGCACCCCACAGAAGGGACCAGTACATGAAGAACTGCAGACCATGGAAGGACTCACATTGGAGAAGTTAATGGAGGATTGTTTCCTGTGGGAAAGACCCCATGCTGGAGCAGGGGTAGAGTGTGAGGAGCCCTCCCCCTGAGGAGGAAGGAGTAGCAGAAACAATCTGTGATTACCTGACCATAACACCCATTCCCCATCACCCTGTGCCACTGGGGACAAGAAAGTAGAGAAAATTGGGAATTAAGTTGAACCTGGGAGGAGAAATGAGGTGGGACAAAGGTGTTTTTAAGATTTGGTTTTATTTCCCATTGCCTTAATCTGATTTGACTGGTAATAAATTAAATTATTTTTTTCCCAAGTCAAGTCCATGATAGTAATTGCTGAGTGATCTCCCTGTCCTCATCTCAACCCACAAACCTTTTGTTATATTTTCTCTCCCTTGTCCAGATGAGGAGGTGAGTGACAGAGTAGCTTTGGTGGGCACTTGGGATCCAGCTACAGTCAACACAGATCCACAATCCCAAATTAGTACCTCCCAAAAGGACAGGTACAAGGGCATCAACTGCAAAAGATCTGATTTCAGGTGACTTACCCAGCTTTCCATAGGAACTCTAAGGACAGAAGTCAGCTCCCCTTGGCTGAATTCACATGCCTTACATACAGGACCCTTTCCACTTTTCTACCATGCTATGGGTCATTCACTAACATTTTTTCAAAGAAGATTTTAAAAACAAGCTACTCTAGTACCAACAGCCTCTTTTAAATTAAAGTATCTGTGTTGACCTGTTTGCTGTATTCTCCTTTCTTAATGTAAGCAGGGAAGCAAAGCAAATACTAAATTGGACAACACCAAAACGCATAAAAACAAAGACCTATCAACTTTCAACTTTTCCCTCTTGCATGATTCTCTACTTAATATTCTAGCATGTTGCTAATGTAATTTCTGCACAGGCAAAGGCCTTAGTTTTAGAAGGTTTCCCAAAGGAAACAGCCATGCTGTCTATTGGTCCCTCTGCCTGCAATAGCATTTTAACCTGCTAGCCAGATTGAATCAGGTTTAAAAGAACAGAAGGGTCAAAAATATTTAAATTCATACTAGTTTTGTGAAAAATTGACACCTGGATAAAGACTTGATTAAATGTTTCCAGTATCCTATAACAGACAAAATTTAGCAATGATATGCTGCCTGATTGCATCTGCTGGTCAGTTAGCATATATATACAAGTCTTGACAAGTCACTGCAAGAAAACTTCTTTCCTTAGCTCTTCTACTATTGGATAAATGCAAAGTAGTTATTGCCAGAGTAGTAAAGAACAGTTGGCCTGTGAAATCTGAAGTACATTTGGACCACACCAATGAGAATATAAGGGGCAACAGAAATGGAATTAGGGAGGTTGGAAGAGGTGAATCTAGAATTTTAGAAAAGGTGAAAAATGAGAAAACTGAGACTAGCTTAATAGAAATAGGACAGTGATAGCAGTGGTAGTACAGGAATTTAGGAGAAGTTCAGGGAAAAGCTGAAGAGTATCTGCCAATACAAGACCAGAATAAGGGCAGAGATACACTTCCTCCACTGTGTCTGTAGATACTGTAACTACTACAGCCATCAGCAGCTCTTTAAAGTGGTAGCAGACAAGAAACAACAACAACAAAAAAAATCCATCCCCCACTACATTATTTGAGTGCTAGAATGATATTGTAGAGAGGAGGAATATAACTGCTATCTTATATGACTGCTGTATTTGTGTCTCATTTATCACTGATGTTCTAAGGTCTCTTCCAGGCGTGATGGAGGTGGGGGAGAGGCAAGGAGGGAAGGCGGGGAATGTGAGAGCATGGTTTTGTGATTAAGCAGCAAAATGTTGTCCAGAGGAACTGAATTCCACTTCTCCCTTAGTTGTCCTGCAGAAAGCCAAGTCAGTCACTTATTTATGTATTTTTCACAGGTGGTCATTAATTGTCTACACCTAATTTTCCAAGTAGTAAGGCTGAGCTAATTTACCAGATACAATTTATAGACATACTGAGTATTTGTGCATGCAAATAACTGAAAAAATTATGCCAAATTTGTACCAAATACATGCAACTTTAATCTAGTGTCTTGTTTCCAAACCTGTAAAATGGGAAAAAGACACCTAGTCACTTCATATAACATAGACATGGCAGTAAATCCATTTACAGCTACTTAGTTCTATATAAACACGTTGATCAATAACACACAACACACAAAGGGGGAGGAAAAAAAAAAGTAAAAAGCAACATTTCTATATTTAGAGCACAATTTAGTTGGAATGCATTGTTCCAAGCAAGCAACAAGAAAGAAGGCAGCATTCAAAAAGGCTGTTTATTATTACTGGGGACCCAGTTAAGACTTCTGATCTATGCCTGAAGACAGCTGGAATCCTGTGGAAAAATCTATGTGACCACATCATTGAACACTATATCATCTGCCCAAGGAAGCAGGATGCAGATTGCACAGAAAAATCTTTGGCTTTTCTGACTTATGCCACGATGGCATTCTTTTAAGAGATATTTTTAGCTGTAATGCATCTTTAATTATGGGATTCATATATACGTACATATGCACATCCTATTTTAGCATATGATTATATCATTATTATTTATAAATTTGGCTTCATGAAAACGAAACTTCAAAAAAACCGAAACAGATGGCTTTTTGGAGACTGAGTTGGTAATGCAAAGGGTGCCACCTCATGGTGCTTGCTAAAAAAAGCATACCCAGAAGAATCGTTCTCCTTAAATGCTCAAGTAAACAGGATTAAATATTTACCAGCATGTCTCACTAATGCAGAAAGTTCCTTCTTAAATAAAATTCCATTTTCCTACAAGCTAATGTTGACTAAGCCTCCAGAAATTCTAACAGGAGAAGCAAAAATTCTTCTTTCATATACTTCTGATTCTCTCTTGCAAATTCTCAGCCTTTATAGCACAGCATATATTTACTTCAGAGGGACAGTATCAAGACATTTTCATACAAACCCAGTTCTTTGGGCATATTTCAAAATCCTGACTCATGGTTTCCCAAATAACCTAATTGCCACATGACTTAAAATTAACTGCATTCACACAGTAGAAAAAACTTCTTGCAGAGATAGGATATAGTACTCTGGCAGTGCCTGTGGCAGCCATCCCTTCTAGTTGCCTTCTGAGTAAAAGCTATTTAGAAGAGATGGTTTCAGCATTTGGCAAAACAACATGGGTCAAAACTAAAGAAACATTTCAGTGTTGCATCCAGGGTTACCATTCTTTGTGACTCTATTACCAGCCTTCAGACCACTGGTGTTTTCCTCAAAAGTCTAGCTCTTACAGATACACAGATATGATACTTTTAGACTTTCCAAAAAAAAAAATAAAAAAAAAAATAAAAAAAAAGTTTCTATCTTTTACAGCTATGGGGAAATGAACCAGGAAAGTATCACCTCCAAAATTTTTTTAAGGAAAAAAGATCAATCTAAAGTACCTTGACCACTTTAATGCAAATCTCATCATTTGGGAGATACCAGTTTTCCTGACTGATGGATCTTTTCTCCCCTCCTTCAACTACTTTTGTCTATAGCAAGAAGCAGGAGCTCAAGAAGCTGTCAGTAAATGCAGGAAAAGAGGAGAGAGGGAAAAAAAGTAAAAGGACCGAAGCACTCCACATGTCATGCTATGGTATACTCTTCTGGATAGCTCTGAGCTATGAGCATAAGAACTTGAAAACAAAAACAAAAATTCTTGTTCTCTAAACTGTTTGTCAAATGAGAATTTACCATCAAGGAAAAGTTTGTGCAGAGGAAAAGTTTGGAGACTTTTGGTTTTGATGCCACAGTACTGGAAATCACTACATTTGCAGCTCAGGAATGAGGTATACTCACAGTGTACCCCAAACACTGCCTAGCACGAGAGAGAGTGTTGCTTAGCACCTCTGCATTCTTGGGTATGTGCAAGCTCATTTGTCCCCTAATCCCACATCTTATATTTTCATAGTTGTCACAGAAATCTCTGGTGCTGGCTAAGAACAGTTTGTCTCTCAGAACTGAATGTTAGTTGTCAATGCAGTAAAGCACTAAATAAACAAAGAGTAACAGAAAGGGAAAAAAATAAAAACACACACGCAAGTACAGGAAGAATGTGTGTAATAGCAAAGAAGAGGCTGGGACCAGAGATACAAAGATAGTGACAAAAAATATTCATACTTCATACAATATTCATACAATCACACTTACCCTCAGCAACATCATCATCCACCATCAGCTTGAGGCTCTTTCCTCGCCGAACTACCCGGACAGTGTGCCACTCGTTGTCATTGAGTTTCTGCCCAGCATAAAGAGTTTCAGGTCCCTTGCCTGGGAATGGTGATAGGTACAATAGTTAAAGCCAGACCTCCAATTAGTTTAGTATTTGCTCAATAGGAAACATCACCAAAATCAACCTGGTGTGATACAGACTAGTAGATTGTATAGGTGTATTATGACCTGTAATCAACTCTTACACCTACACCTTCCCAGCTTACACAGAAGACAGGGGTCAGAAATTCTTCCACTGAGTGAAGTACCTTCCTCCACAGAGCCCAGAGGTCGCATGCATTTAGAACAAGGGTAGGAGCCTCTCTTGTGCTATGGCATCCATTTCCAAATGTCACATTGTACAGGGCATTGCAGTATTAGAAAAATGAACTGGTGACATAAATGTCTCTAGAGTAGAGACATTACAGCTCTCCTAAGAAATTGGATTTACAGCAGCTCAAAGGTGTTTGAGATTCTTTTAGAAGTTAATTACACTGATCTCTCAACACTTAGGTATGGAACACCAGGCTGGTTTCAGTCTTTCAGTCTCCAAAAAGAACAACAACATAACCAACCCAGAAAACCTCAAAATCCTACCCTCCAAAAAATAAGTTTAAAAAATAAAACAATTAAAAAACCAAAACAAAACACAAAACAACAAACCAAAACACAGAAAGAGTAACCTGGCCGATTGCCATAAGGCTTGTTTTTTGCAAAGCAGTCTGGCTATAAAGTGCTTACTTTACCCCTTGAATTACACATCAAAATGGCAACAGATGCCCTTTCTTCTCCAAAAGGTAAAAACTCAGTTGCCCTTGCCAACAATGCTCCTGAGAAAACAGCATTAGTGCTACCCATATTTGTCCAGTCTTGCTGCTCACCCATCACAGTTGACAGGTAATTATTTAAAACATTAATTGTTCAGATTACAGGATTGGAACACCTCACTCATTTTAAATGGTAAGTGAAATTGAATAATAGTGTGTGCTAAACCAAAGGCATCTGTGCTCTTTTCAGTACAGCACTAGAGTACTTTTTCACACAGGTATATCAGAGAAATGCAGAATAAGGACAGAAGAACTTGTTGCACATCAGGCCTGGGTCACTGCCCAAACTGGCAAAAGATGAACCCGAGAAAGAAAAAGTAATACACATTGAACATATTAGAAGACCACAGGGAAAATAAGAGGCCCTGCTACAGCTTACTGCACTGGTAAAACTAATGTCAGATATGCAGACTATTTCTCTATGTTCAAACCAAGCAAATTCATCTCTTTATTCAGCTAGTCCAGGAACACCATTTATTTTGATGAGTTTTCAATGGGATAGTTACGTAACAGAATAAATCGCTATACGTGTCTTCAGGCTAAACTCTGCACAAGGGGACGCACCCACTCATCTGTGTCATGGTGCAGTCTAACAAATATGAGTAACATACTCCATAGTGAGACAGAATTGAAGGAAGGGGTAGGAAAATTACCCAGGGACTTTACATAGTCCACAACAGGCACCCTAAGTAGCAACATTACTGTAACTGCTTCTTAATGAGGGGAAACATGGGCAAAGAGGGTGGTGTCTCATTCAGCTAGGATATAATGTGTACTAGGGGAAACCTATAGAAGGAAACCAAAGCAAAGTTAATATTATGTTCTTCTTCTTACAACATCATCCAGTACCCGTTAATGGAAAACAAGTTTAATATCCTTTCATATAAAGTCCATTGCCCAAGAGGGAAAACGTTTTTTTACAGTTATCTGAAAAAAAAGAGAGTCATTCTTGGATAAAATGATGAAGAGTCACATATTGCCATTCTCCTTCGCAGGAGAAACCTGTAACCTCTGCAGTTCCTCACCAGTGTACTAAAGTTACACTGTACAACAAATGTAAATCCAGCTGCACAAGGCAGCTAAGTCATGGCCAGAAACTTAAATTCTTAGGAGCCAGACAAGCAAAACTCTATTAAATAGAGCCCAAGAAAGTTTTGCTAGATTTACAGTGAGTACACTTTATCTCAGAGCACATATTACAAAACATCTCTGGATGGCCAGCAAAATTATTGCCTACATAAAAATACACTGCATCAGTTATTGTAGTTTCACACAGCCATTTCCCAGGTAGGAAGATAAAGGAGCTCATCTGTACCTGTGTGTTTTTATAATGCCACCTGAAAGCATGGCAACAGGTGGGGGTGGTGCACAGCAAATACTTTTAAAAAACAACTTTTTCACAGGTCTAGAGCTATGGAGAGCTCAATCAAGAGAAATGGTCAAGCATGCTGACTGTTCAGCTGACAATACAGCACCCTCTATGCAGCAGCTCTATGTTCAACAAGGTTGGGTAACTCAAAGTTGCTGACCTAATCACCTCTTTTTAACCCTAGCCAAACAAGCTGATTTGGCTTGTTGTGGCTACCTTGATGCCTACTATAGCACTTCCAAAATAGAACTGTGAGACCAACAGAAGTTATCTGACTAGATTCTCAGAAAACGTACCTTAACCAATTCACAAATACATAAGCAGAAAGTTTCAGCTATCCAACTTCTTTTTCCAAATGAATAAGGTTGTCTATAAGTGAGACTGCTATTTAGAAGTAACTGTTTAATAGTTTAGGCTAAAAAAATTGAAAATTCAGCACTGCAGATGCAAATTGCTCCATGTTATCTAAATCCATATCTTCATCAGCCAATTTAATATTTTATCAATAGAAAAAACAAACAAACAAACAAAGCCACAACAAAAACAGGAGAACTGTATATCACACAGAATTGACCACTACCTCTCATTTTCAAACTCAAATGAGGCAAACTAGTATGTATACCTTTGGTGCTTTGCAGTTGCAAAAATTACTTCATCAGAAGCAAAAATCTCTCTCTTGGGCATCCCCACATTCTGGACATTATTCAAGCTGCAGTTCAGGCTTCTTGAACAATATTACTTGATTCAGCTGCAGCAGCTCCTCCTCATGCTCTCATTAATCTTTTGACACCTACCCAAAACTTGTCTGCATATTGCTCCTACGAAACAATTAGTATATGCTTTCAAACATGGAAGAACTCAATTAAATCTGCCCAGGGTGTCCCAGTTATTATCCCTATGGCCAAAATAGACTATATAAAAGTGCCAAGAACAGATAAGGCCAAGTATAAAGAATCAAGTAGTTCACGCTTTCTGAAAATGCCAAGTTGCTTTCCATCTGGCCCCCAAGAACTCACTCAATTAGAACAAAAAGCCAGTCAGAGGGATGCAGTTAAAACAACAGCTCTGAAAACACCAGCTGTTACCTACCTTCAGTGGTTAACAGCACACAGAATTTCCCTCTCATGAAAGTCAAAAGAGAAAGACAGCTAATCTCCTCACCAGCTCCTCACAGGTGCATCAAAAACTGTGCTTTTTACCCTTGGTGCAGGCTATCATTATCTAACTCATTTATATGATTTAAATGACCTTCATGAAACCAAGCTATCTTCATTATCGCATATCTTATCCAGCATTACAGAAGAGGTCAAACATTCAAGTCTGCAGAATGGCAGAAGAGACAACCAGAAAGGACATGGACAGACTGATGAGAATGGAAAAGGCTCTTCCTCATTTTAATTGCAATGATAAATAATTCTACAGTGATATACTAAAGCTTTTTAGAGAAGACCCTTGATTTTAAAAAAATCTGATTTTTTTCTTTTTTAATTAAAATGCTCAGCTGCCATATCAGCTTTGTTCAGTAGCAAGATGTATTCTTCTGCCTTTTTTTTATATACAGGACAGAAATCTCTCAGGAATGGCAACAGCATTCCATGGCAGGGAAGGGCAAGGGGAGGCACTGGTTGTCTTTACTTATCCTTTTACAAAATGACTACAGAAGTTGCAATTCACTGTAAAAAAAATGCACACACACAGCTTTATGAAACATGAGAATCAATCGCAAGACAAGCTGGACAGATTCTCTCAACAGATCTACGCTATTTAGGCATTATTCAATAATTTCCTAAAGAACACTCAGATGTGACTAGTACAACCACAGAGTGGGATTCTTCTTTGTAGCCCCAACAGAGCAGCACAGAGAAAGGGGGTTATGAAGCCAATGCCACACCTGTTTTTCATCCCCACTGATATTAATAGTACTTTGGAAGATAATTGCCTTTATATACAGACTATACATTTAGTGATACACACTAAATAATTATGCATACTTAGGGCACATGACAGATATTCCCTTTTCCATGTTTTGTCTTTTCAGAAGATAGGCAGAAGATATTCTAGGTACTAAGATATTCAGCTACAATTTCTACAGGCAGGTTTGAACAAGGGGGGAGGGGAGGTAGGTGGAGCATGGGGCGAAGGAGAACAAGTGGACTTAAGGAAAAGGGCACTGGCAATTACTCATACACTTTTAAGGCTTCCTGATATGCAGAGAGTTCCTACAAAGAATAGGACTAATATAAAAACACAAGTATGGCTCAAAAACAGAGCTGGCAACTGTTCCGAAAAACCTTCAATATCTTTTGGTCTTGTTTGAATATGTCAGTAGTGTTAATTTTGTTGGATATTTTCAGGCAGCAACAGTATGGACAAAATGTCTTTTTCTTGACCAGAATCCACTAATTCCAGGAGCATTGTTAATTGCTAGGAAGCAACTGGCAAACCCAAACTCTCAGTACATTGCAGACATTTATGTAGATATTCCAGTCAAATCAACACAGTCAAATAAATACAGACTTGTTTTGCTCATATACAGGTTTTAGAATCCTCCTTTTCAGGAAAACTTTAGCTGCATCTAGGAATAAGCAGTTGCACTTTCATACATGTAGTCAATACCTTCATTGGGGACCTTACCTGCACCAACCTTTCAGTTTCCTCAAGGAACAGGATCACTTCCATGTGCTAACCCGCATTAAAACATAACACACACTTACCAAAAAAAATGCTTTTAGCAAAGCTTACAGAAAAGTTAGGCTTACAACTTTACAGAGTGGCTTCAGTGGCAAATCAATAAGGTTGAGCATGATCTATACCAGCTTACTCAGAAGCAAAATTTAATTATTTATATCCATACAGCAACAGAA